CCTCCTCACAGCACGGCTCCCCTGCCCCGCTTCAGAGCCAGCAGGCTGGGAAAGCGGCTGGAGCTTCCCAGCCAGCACAGAAAGCCGATGGCAGCAACCCAGCGTGCACAGGCTGCAATGGGGGGCATGAATAATTGAAGGCGCCAGCCTGAGGAGAGGAGAGAAGGGGGAGAGGCAGCACTGTGGGTAGGGAAGGGATGGTGGGAAGAATCCTGCGGCTCAGATGCTCTCACGGGGCAGCTGGAGCCCATCCTGGCTCCATCCTGGCCAAAGGCAGAGCCTTTGCTGTGGCGGCAGGTAAAGGACTTTCTTTGATTGTGACTTTTCCCTCCCCAGAGCCGTGGCTGCTCTGCGAGCAGAACCCCGCTGCCTACTGTGGGGTGGCAGGATGGGGGAGCCGCCCGCGCTCCAGGGATGCTCATGGCTGCTCCCGGCAATTCCCTCGCTGCATCCGGCGTGGACAAGTTAAAGGGAAGAGCGAACACTCTCCGGGGCCGTGGCAGAGCCGTGGAGGCTCCTCCAGGCCTCCAGCACCGGGCAGAGATGGCGGCGAGCTCCGGGCGCTGCCTGCTGTGGGCAGAGCCCGGCAGGACCTGCCCGTGCCCAGCAGCCAGAGCTGAACCCATCCCACTGCCCACATCTCCTGCTCCACATCTCCAACCTGCTGGACTCCCGTGGCGTGGAGGGAAAGCTGCACCAGCCAGTAATGAAATGATCAGTCTCCGATCTGCTAAACAGCGATTTATACAGGTTTTCAGCACACACAGCTTTTATCAAATTGGTATTCACCTACTGAACACAAATGGCTTATTATACATGACCCACTTATTCACTGCTTTTCAGTATCGTTAATAAAGGTTTCTGTTGTGATTAAGTGAGTTGCTGCAGAACTGCTCGAGTAGCAAGCTGTAATGTGGCTCCAAAGTGCACTCGCCCTCCCAGAATATTTCATCTCCTTGGCTCCCTGCTCCCTCGCAGCGACCATTTCACTATTTATTTGCCTATTGCTGAATTTCTGTGGGGAGCAGCGGTGGCTAATGGAGGCTCTTCACCCACCTTTCCATCTGGCATGCCAGCCTGGCAGGTCTGGAAACTCTCCTGCTGTGAGCCCCCCATGCAGAGGCTGATCACCCTTCCCTGGGCAGGCAGGTGCGGGACAACAGGAACTGCGGGACCCCTCACACCTGCCCCCCTGGCATGGCCCGAGGTGCCGGTGTGCCCCGAGGCTCCTGGGGGCAGAGATTCGGTCCCTCCGCACACGGGAGGCCCCGGAGCCGGGCGGGGGAAGAGCTGGGACCCGAGCACCCAGCGTGTCCCCGTGGCTAAGATTGAACGCGCCCGTGTCACTGCACAGAGAGCTTGGAGGGTCTCAGCAGCCTCCTCGGAGGGGGCTCGGTCCCCTGTCACCTTCTCGTATCCACGAGGGAGCTGCCCCTACGCCAAGCTCCTCACCGGAGGGTGCAGGATGCAGGAAGAGGTTCCCCTTCCCAGCCCCGGTTGATCCCCGCGGGCTCNCGGCTGGGGCAGGGAGGCTCCCGCCACGCGCTGGGGGTGGCAGCGCCATTTCTCTGCCCCTCTTTGCTGTCATGTGAGCAGCAGAAGGAGCTCAAATTTGCAGCATGTGAATTAAAAACAAAAAAAACCCGCACACCTAACTCAGTGAATGTGATCAGGCCAGCGCTCACCTCACCAGACAGCAGGAATTAACCTTGCAAACTGCAGGTATTTCCAACAGTGCTGGGCTGCCCCAGCTCCTGCCCCCAGTGCTTCCCACTCCCCTAATGTTTAAGCCCCTCAGCAAGAGCGAGGTCAGTGGGGAGTGTCTCCAGTCTGGCCCCAGCTACACAGAGCTTTGTCCATGCAAGGGGACTTGCTGCTCCCATCTGGTTCCTGGGGACTCGCAGTTCTCAGGAAATTCCCTCCCAAGGGGCCCAAGGAAGAGCTGCTATTTGATATTTAAGTAGCAAAGCCCTAAAACGGCCTTTTTTTTGACAGCTCCCCGTGGGGCTCCGGCAGTGTGTGCAGCCAGCCTGCAGCCACCCCTCGCTCTGGTGCTGCTCTCTGCCAGGGGACGGTTCCCAGCAGCCAGGGGAGGATTCTCAGCTGGAATCAATAGGAATGAGATGGGGCAGACAGGATCAGCCCCCCTGGTCTCACACCCAGCACCCGAACACGAGCCACCGGCACCGGCAGCTGCTGAGAGCTGCCCACAGCACACACAGGGGCTGGAGCCATCCCCAGAGCTGGCAGTGCCCGGTGCTCATGGACACAGCACCCTCCTGCCCAGCTCTGCCCACCCCATCACTGCTGAGCTCATCCCAGCCCAGCTTCACACAGAGCACACGACACAAGTCACGAATGCACCCGTCACAACCGAGCCCAGCCAACATCCCCGGTGCTCAGCCGGGCACCCAGAGCTTTGGGAGGGCACAGCCAGGCAGGAAAGGGCCCTGCAGGAGGGGAAACAGCCATGGAACAGCAGAGCTCAGAGAGAGCCTGAGCTGTCGAGGACAGGCCCAGAAAGGGCTGTCTGTCCCGAGGTGCACAAATCCCACTCACACCATGAACAAAATCCCATAGGAGCCGTGAAGGGGAGAAGGCCCTGCAGGTGCCCTCCTGGGCACCCATCTGGCCCCCGGAGCAGCCCCTGATGAAGGAGGCAGAAGTGCAGAGCCTCCAGCTCCCTGGCCCGCTCCAGGAGCTCACTCCAGCCCTGCCTTGCTGCCCACAGCCCCCAGACCTCATGCAGCCGTGCCGGCTCTTGGTTCATTCCTGCCTCGCTCACAGGGAACGTTATGATTAAAATTAGCTGTCACTGTCCTAACGTAATAATTCCCAGTGTCTGGCCCGTCGTCTGTCAGCCGCTTCAAGGGAAGAGAAAGCCCAGACGTTTGATGAGGAGAGGTGTCAGATGTAATTGCGTTGAATGACTGCACGAACAGCAGCAGGAAAAACACATCGCGCGGAGAATTCCCACCAGGAAGTGTGCAAAAATCCGGCGGAATGCAAAGTGTTTATGAAAGTAATTGATAGAATAATCACTGGGGTGTGCGGGAACGGA